TCTAAGTTGCTCCGGTTGAGCCGTTTGTGTTGTGTCCCTATATTTGAAGTTTTAAATTTGCAACCCCTTCTCCCATCAAAAAAGGTCCATTGGTCCTATTTTCTTAGAGTGATCCTGCGGGATTTTGCCTTAGCTATTTAAAGATTTTTTTTTTTTTTTGGTATGCATACGTTACTCAGCTGTTTGAGACGGTAGCGGCTTAATTTTAAACGTTGCAAGTTTTTGCCCAACAAAATGCATCAGATTTTCTCAGTGAAGAACGTAAGGGATGGAGATGGGGGTGCTACAGTAGATCCTGCGTGCTGCCCAGAATTCTTATCACACAGATGCGTTCTAAGTGTAACAAGAAACCTAATGGGTATCGCCTTTCTCTCCCTGCAGGTGAGAATGAGATGGTTATCATGAGACCTGGAAACAAATATGAGTACAAGTTTGGCTTTGAGCTTCCTCAGGGGTAGGTATCAGCCAGGTGCATCTTTGGACTTTTCTATCTCAAGATCTTCCCCTCATTTGATCCTGGAGAGTGTTTTTAAATTGTTTCCTTTTTCTTGACACAGGCCTCTGGGAACATCCTTCAAAGGAAAATACGGGCATGTAGACTACTGGGTAAAGGCTTTCCTTGATCGCCCCAGCCAGCCAACGCAAGAAACAAAGAAAAGCTTTGAAGTGGTGGATCTAGTGGATATCAATACCCCTGATCTGATGGTGAGGTTCAGTTTAAGATTCTATTCTCTTGGGTCTCAGGGATGATAAGTCACATGCCTTGGGGATTAGATTGAAACACCTAAGTGTTTCAAGTTCTAAATCATCAAGGTGGGAGGGAAAGCTGCCTGCTCTAGGGAAGGGGTGGAAAGTAAAGAGAAGGGTAGAGCCTAGCGCTGGTGTGGTTCAGTTAATTGGAGGGTCACCCAGTGCATCGAAGGGTCTCAGGTTCAATCCCCAGTCAGGGCGAGGTCAGGGAGAATTTTGGAGGCAACCGATATATGCTTCTCTCTTCCTTTCTTCCTAAAAACATATTCTTAAAAAAAAAAAAAAGCAGAGAAAGTGTCTCCAGAAAGTCTCAAATCAACCTCCTCTCTTCTCCATAGGCTCCCGTGTCTGCTAAAAAGGAGAAGAAAGTGTCCTGCATGTTCATTCCTGATGGGCGGGTGTCTGTCTCTGCCCGAATCGACAGAAAAGGATTTTGTGAAGGTAAGAGCCTAAGTCCTGACAAAATAGAAACTGTGGGTTTTGGAGGTGAGGGCAGGGCAGGGCAGGGGCAGAAGGAAAGTCATCAACTGTACTTAGCATCAGCTTCATCTTTCTTGTTGCTAGGTGACGAGATTTCCATCCATGCCGACTTTGAAAACACATGCTCCCGAATCGTGGTTCCCAAAGCTGCCATCGTGGCCCGCCACACTTACCTGGCCAACGGCCAGACCAAGGTGCTGACGCAGAAGCTGTCGTCTGTCAGGGGCAATCACATCATCTCGGGAACCTGCGCATCATGGCGTGGCAAGAGCCTCCGGGTGCAGAAGATCAGGCCTTCCATCTTGGGCTGCAACATCCTCCGCGTTGAATATTTCCTGCTGGTGAGTCTGGGGGTGGGACTGGAGAGAACGATTGTTCATCTGTCGGAACATCAGCGGTGTTTTCTCCAGACCTCCAGTCTCACAAACTGCCAACTTCCTTTCTAGATCTACGTTAGCGTTCCTGGCTCCAAGAAGGTCATTCTGGACCTACCCCTGGTGATTGGCAGCAGGTCGGGTCTGAGCAGCCGCACGTCCAGCATGGCCAGCCAGACCAGCTCCGAGATGAGTTGGGTAGATCTCAACCTCCCTGATACCCCAGAAGGTGAGCCAGACCCTATGTCTTAGCCTAGGGCCTGCTTGGGTGTGTAAAATTGGGACGGTCGGCCATGTCTGGGCCAGGTTTCTCATCCCCAACCTCTCTCTGTCCAGCTCCTCCTTGCTATATGGATATCATTCCTGAAGACCACAGGCTGGAGAGCCCCACCACTCCTCTGCTTGACGACACAGATGGCTCTCAAGACAGCCCTATTTTTATGTATGCACCTGAGTTCAAGTTCATCCCACCACCCACCTACACGGAGGTGAGAATTGTCATTTGTCCACTGCATTTGTTCCAAACTTCCTATAGGAAGTTGAGTTGGAGGATTCCTAAAAGGGGGGGTTTCTTTTAGTTTTTACCGGAACTAAAATGTTTTCGTTCTTCCTCCCAGGTGGACCCCTGCATCCTCAACAACAATGTGCAGTGAGCATGTGGCAGAGAAGAAGCAGCTGTATCTACTTGTTTCTTTCCGCCTCTTCCTGGACTCTTCCTTTTTCAGAGACTCAACAGTCTCTACAGTGGGGGTGGTCCACCCCAACCTCTGACTCCCCAGCGTAGGAGGTGACCAGCAGGCAGTCTAGTCTCCTGGGCCTTAAAGGATGCACACCCATCCTCAGCCAGCCAAGATGTTGTGATGTCGGGGTGTTTGCTAGATGGGTTTAAAACCATAGGCCCATCCCATTTTCTGAGATCGCCTTGAAAATTGAGGCATATTGAGTAGTTTTGAATGGCCTCCTGGCATGGTCTTCCCAAGATTTTTTTACAGGGGAATATATACATAGATCGCTATAATGATACCAGATCATGAACATCTGTATCATGTGGAGCAGAATCCATGTAGCAAACTGGGAAAATGGAAAGGGGGGGAAAATCCTCTTCAAAACTTTGGGAAAAGGAGGTTCTTAAAACCATCCTTGCCCTTTGTAAACTTACAGACAAAAATAAAAGCTCTCCAGAGCTGCTTGGGTCTGGACTGGGGAGAGCTGTGTGAACCAAAGGGAAGAAGCTCTAAGGTGGTCTTTGCTTAGAATGTATTCCACCTGGCAGAAAGCATTAATAGCGACGCCCCACCGAAGGTCTTCTAAGCCATTCTCAGAGCCTATTGCACTGTGTTCTGTTGCAAACGTCTTTATATGGGAGAACGTGTTTTTCCTTTCATGTGACTCCTCGGGATTGATTCTGAGGTGATGTGTTTAGCACTTTAGTTCCTGTCATGTTACTCTTTTCTATCTCAAAACGTAAGCTGAAACTGGTCTACTACGTCTCTAGATATAAGCACAAGGACAAAGAAGTTGCTCGTGACTGTTGAGACTTTGTCCCAGTGTACAGAATTCTGTAATTCTGACACTCCAGCTGTCTGAGAGGGATTGCTGCCTCCAGCCTTGCCCACGGTGACCTCTCCTCACCAAGCAGAGGCTAGATGGGGATGCCCAGCCCTGATCAGAGCCTCCGGACGTTGACATGAGAAACCCGAGGGGCAGATCTCCACAAAAGCCCCGGGCTCCCCTCTCCAGGGTTGGGCGGCGGGGGATGCTGACAGCCCCTCTCACTGCAGCCTTTAGCACTTTGTTCCCCCATCCCCTGTCAGAGCACTGAGCTCCGCCCTTTTCTGAGAAAGCACGTGGACTGAAGGTGGTTTAATGTTTTTTTAATTGTGTATCTTTTTGTATGATTAAAAAAACTATATTTTGTACTTAACCAGATATATTTTCACCCCATGTAGGGGATATTCTTTGTAAAAAATAAATAAAGTTTTTTAATGGCAAAAACTGTTTTCTTGTCTGTGAGATGGTATTGGAGAAGTTATTAGAAAGTGTGCCTCCCCTGGCCGGGTAGCTCAGTTGGTTAGAATGTCATCCCAGTGTGCCGTGGTTGTGGGTTCAATCCCCCGTCAGGGAATGTACAAGATTCAACCAATTAATGCATAAATGAGTGGAACAACAAATCAATGTCTCTCAATAAATAATAAGTAAACTTTTTTAAAAGTGTGCCTAAAGGAGCGTTTCTCCTACTTCAGAGTTCATCCTTGAAAACCCTCACATTATTACCCATCGACCCTAATGAATACAGAATGGGGGTTGGAGAGCTGGAGAGGGAAGACATTTGAGCTATATTTGGTCTTTTCCAATTCAGTAAGGAACTAGCTGGGATCTTCTGATGATCTAAGCTAGTTTTCTACATTTATAGTTAGTCATTACTGAAGTTCTTCAGTTTTGGAGTGCATGAGCTCTTTTTTTTTTTTTTAATGAGCTTTTAAAAAACAAGAAAATGAGGTTTGTGAGGGGAATTGGTAGGAAAGGTTTACAGTTCCAGATTTTATCATTTGGCTTCATGGTTTCTCCCCAGTTTATACCTGGTTTATATAAAGACAAAATAATTATTCAGGACTTAAGGATTTAGTTATGAATATTCTTTTTTAAAATTGATTTTTAGAGGAAAGGAGAGAAACATCAATTCCATTTATGCACTTATTGGTCGATTTTTTTTAAGTGAATGGGTTTTTTGTTGTTTTCATGTATTTTTTAAAATATATTTTTATTGATTTCAGAGAGGAAGGGAGAGGTAGATAGAAACATCAATGATGAGAGAGAATCAATCCCCAATCAGCTGCCTCCTGCATCGAGCCCACAACCCAGGCATGTGCCCTTGACTGGAAATCAAACCTGGGGCTCTAGTCCACGGGCCGATGCTCAATCCACTGAGCCAAACCAGCTAGGGCTCTTGCTTTTTTTTTTAGGTTTATTTCAGAGACAGAGCAGAAGGGAGAGGAAGAGAGAAACATCAATGTGAGAGAGAAGCACCAAACAGCTGCCTCCTGCTTGTCCCCTACCAGGAATCAAGCCCCCAAAACCCAGGCATGTGCCCTGACTGGAGTCGAACCAGCGACCTTTTGGTGCACGGGACAACACTCAGCCAACTGAGCTACACTGGCCAGAGCTCATTGGTTGATTCTTGTATGTGCCCTGACCTGGGATCGAACCCACAACCTTGGGAAAGTGCTCTAACCAACTGAGCTACCCGGCCAGGCCTTAAATTCTTTGCAGGCTGCTCCCATGTTTTATCTCTGCAGTTTGTACCTTTCCAAGCATATAATCATAATAGTAAATGTTTGCTGAATACTCAACTCCACCCTCATCCCTTAGGATATGTTATGCTTCAGCAGTTCCTATTTCTCCCTCATAGGGTAATAACAATAGATTGACACCACGTAATTGCACCTCTAATTGAAATGATTTTTATTATTCCTAAAGGGGTGACTCGGATGGAAACCCTGAAATGGCAGGCCTTAATGTACTTCCAATTTCTGGCTCATTTAAACCTTTGTAGGCAGATCTAGTCCTGGCCGTTATTTGGGGTTCGGCTTTTCTGTGGACTTGCACATGCTAATTCCAAACCTCGGATTCCTGGAAATTCATAAAATCCGTGTGAATGGAACAGAAAGTGAAATTGAAAAGATTCCTTTTCGCTCTGGTCTTTGTGTGCCTGTGTCTGTTTTTCATTCTCCGTGGCTCTTTCCCGGCTCTCTGTGTTTTTCCTTACCCAGGTGTCAAAGTCTCTAGCTCTTGATAGCCTTTACTTTCACCCCAGCCTCCTTTTCCTGCCTATTCAAGAATTTAGTGGCTCTGCCCTTTTTCAAATCCGAGACCAGGAAACTAGGTCAAAGTTGATGGAAAAGTTTTTTCTGCAGCTGGTTCTCCAGGGACTAGAGAGGTGGCGGAGAACAAGAGCAAGCCAGAGGGCAGACAAAGGATGAAGAGCTCTCTTGTTTGTGTATACATACATCCTGGCTAGCGTTACCTGAGGGGTCCTAGGTGGGGTGGGAGGCGGGGGGAGGGGATTAGATAACATACTTAGGTCTGCAGGAGAGTAGAGCCTTGAAAAGCCAGAACACATGCATCCCGTCCTGTTACCCACATACCTCAAATCCAGCACTTGCCCCATAGAACGCTCTATGATGATGCGAATGTTCTATATTTGTTCTAACGTGACAGCCATGTGGCTGCTGAGCTCTGAGATGTGGCTACTGAGACTGAAGACTGGATTTTTATTTTTGAACTTACTTTGAATTTAATAAGCTTTGTGGACCAAAAGGGGCCGCATGCTAACCTCAGGAGAGGCCCGCATGGCAGCCTTGCAAACTCAGAGACCTAAAGTAACCACAAAGGATGGTCTGAAATGAAAACTTTTTAACTAAAAGCAGTTTGTCATGTCCTACCTAGGCTGGGATCTTCCCTGACGTAGATCAATCTTTACCTTAACTGAGCCTGTCTATTGTCTTTTTGCATCTATAACAACATATTGGAATGTCAAAGTAATTTTCCTTTTTCCGGATCCCCTCAAAGCACAGGCCCTGCTCTTCGGCGGCCACCAGTCCCCTCATTATTATTGAGTTCATTGTTGACTGTCTTTTACATCCTGTACCCGCCTAAGAAAAGAGGTACAATTCAATCCCAGAGGTTTCCCCGCTTTGCTTGCTTCTCCGCCTCCCCGATCTATCACCAATGGATTTCATGTAGCCCACTTGCCTCTCCTCTTTTGATTGTAATGTGTAAAATAAAGTACAAAGCTGCCATTCTCCAGAGCATTATCTCAATCCGTTCAGATTTTGCTTCCCAGCAATTGTCTACTGCTTTGGCTCAGATGAACTAAAATAATTCTTCACGGGTCTGAAGGTGTCTTGTGTTGACAAGCTCCATGTGCTGAGTGATTACCTTATTGCACAGCAACATCTGAGGAAGGAACCAAGCAGACACGGCTGTTCACCCAGAGGAAACTCGCCCCTCTCTGAGAGCACAAGAGGGCCCACTGGACTTCTGCTTTCACACACAACTTCTAGGTCCCCCCAGAACATTCTCTCTGGGTAGGTTCACGGAAGTGCGCTTCCCTAGGTACTGGCCCAGCTCTTTCTCCACCTAAGTGGGTAGTTATTTGGGGACTTCCTTTCCCATGCTCTTCTCATAGGCCTTTTCATTGTTAAAGCACCGTGACGTACATGAACAGCCGCTGGAGGAAATTCAGTTCTCAGTATCAGAGATCCATGAGGTCCAATGTGGTACAGGAAGATTTGAGCGAAGTCAGAAAAAAAACTAAAGAAAGAAAAAAGCTAAAGAAAGTAAAACGAACAAGAAAAAGGCTGGTACTTCCCCAACAAGGGTCCTTGGCTGCCTTGATACCTCTGAGCAGACGCGAAACACAAGGATTGAGGCATTGGGGGGCAAACGTGTGGGGGGAGGATCTGACCAGGCAGCTGGTCAGCAAAAAGCAATCACATGGTAGCTGAAGGGTGTGAAGTGGGGTGAAGGAGTGACTTTTGTCCAGTTCCTTCAACAGCATCCAGACCTTGTCCCCGTGTCCTTTCCTTGGGCCATCTCTAGGTGACAGAATGCATAAGGTGGATAAGGAAAATATTTTACTGCCCCGTCAATGGCCCAGTCCCTCTTCCCAAGTACCCTGACGTCAATTGTTCTGAAGTGGGAGAGCAGAAACTTCTGTCCCGTTCTCTGTTCTGACCCCGTGTCCACCTTCATTTACTGAGCTAAAAAATTCCCTCTCGGGCCCTGGTCAGGTGGCTCAGTGGGTTGGAGTGTTGTCCTGCACAATAAAAGGTGTGGGTTCAATTCTAGGTCAGGGCACATACCTAGGTTGCATGATTGATCCCGGGTTGGGGCAAGTATGGGAGGCAACTGATTAATATTTCTCTCTCACATCAATGTTTCTCTGATGTTTCCATTTCTCTCCCCCTCCCTCCCTTCCTCATAAAAACATACCCCCTGCTGAGGATTTAAATGAATAAAACTCCCTCTCCAAGCTGGCTGCAGATCCAGGGCCTCAGGGCCTGGCCCAATAGGTCTGTCGATAGCCTAAAAAGAGTTCAAGGATCAGCCTTCCTGTGCTGTTAAGGAGAAACGGTGTTCCCTGACTTTTTAAAAATATATTTTTTAATTAATTTCAGAGAAGAAGAGAGAGGGAGAGATAGAAACATCAATGATGAGAATCATTGATCTGCTGCCTCCTGCACGCCCCCTACTGGATGATCAAGCCTGCAACCCAGGCATGTGCCCTAACTGTGAATTGAGCTGTGACCTCCTGGTTCATAGAGTGATGCTCAACCACTGAGCCACACCGGCTGGGCACCAGACTATTTTTAGAAATGGCCCACACCCACGGACAGGTCAGAGAATGCTCCCTACGGTTTTCAGGGGTAGGTTATGTAGGGGGAATCATCAGTCTTGGAGAGGAAGGGTGGTGGTCAGGGTCTGGTCTCTGCTAACTGGTGGGAGAAGAGAGAGGGAGAGATAGAAACATCAATGATGAGAATCATTGATCTGCTGCCTCCTGCACGCCCCCTACTGGATGATCAAGCCTGCAACCCAGGCATGTGCCCTAACTGTGAATTGAGCTGTGACCTCCTGGTTCATAGAGTGATGCTCAACCACTGAGCCACACCGGCTGGGCACCAGACTATTTTTAGAAATGGCCCACACGGACAGGTCAGAGAATGCTCCCTACGGTTTCCAGGGGTAGGTTATGTAGGGGGAATCATCAGTCTTGGAGAGGAAGGGTGGTGGTCAGGGTCTGGTCTCTGCTAACTGGTGGGGGTCGGGTAGGGTAGTCGATCAGATCACCTGGTCCATTCAGCCATGGCATCGTGTTGTCTTTTCTGGGCCTGGAGCTGAAACGTAACTGGGGCCTGGATGCTATCTCTAGTTTGACCAAAACTCTGACTCTGGGTGAACGGACCCCAGGCTTTGTTCTTAAGATTAATTGA